CTCTGTTCTCTGTGAGTAAAAAACACTTGGATTTGGAAGAAGTTTTTATATTGTTTTGGAAGTACCTGTTTTTGGTAGAAAGGTTATTTTCTTGTTCCAAATGAGACTATCTTTTTCTTTTTTTTTGTGATCAAATTTTTATTGGGCTGTGCGGGTTACAAGTTTTACATAACAATTTTATATGCAGCACAGATTTTTTTTTTATATTTTTTCCCCCCCTCACCCTTTGTGATAATGGGTCTTTTAGTATGAGCAGAAATGCACAATACATGTTCATATGAATTTTAAGGAAATAAAGATACAGTAAAACAATACCACACTTAGATACTGCACACTCACACACTCACTCACACCCCCATGTCCCACCCCTACTGTCCAGGCATGGTAACAAAAAATAAAAAGCAAAAGGCAAAAAGCAAAAAGCAAACAACACAAGTCTTGGTAGTCAAGAGTGATAGACAGAACAAACATATTTGCTAATTTCCTCCGTCAGTGACATCTACAGAAATAGCTTTGGATACATATAGTTATGTAACATTTACACTGTATTTGGAATACATATCGTTATGTACTGTACATTCATAGTTATTACGTACAATCAAAGCATTTGCAATCAAGTTTCACACAGTAGCTGCATTTTATGTAACAGATTTGACCAACATGAGATATTTTCGCTTTTGGCGCCGTGGATCCGAGCTGCTGAAAGCTCCATCTGGACAATGTCTTTAAATGATGAGAGCCATTGCTCCACACTCAGGGTTTGTCTAAGTTTCCATCGACATGCTATCATCTTTTTAGCAGCTGTGAGACCAGCTAGAATTTGGCGGCGTTCATTAATATTTAATTTAAGATTGGAAGTCTCATTCAGTAAGAGTAACCTCTGAGTGTAGGGCAATTCTCTTTCCATTAGGTTTGACAGAGCACCAGCAACATTTTCCCAAAAACAGTGAACCTGGGGGCACTCCCATACCATGTGAAGAAAAGTCCCAATGACCTTGTCTGAACAGAAGTCACAATAAGGATTGTCCTTAAGTTTCATCAGGTGCAATCTCCTAGGATAGAGATAAGCCCTATGAATGAACTTGTAGTGGATCATTTGGTGGTTTGGGTTTCTCGAAGACAGAGATACATTGGACCAAATATTTGTCCAGTTCCACTCAGAATGATCTTTTAGCTCTGTTTTCCAGAAGTGTTCAATAGGCAATTGTTTGTAAGAGGCTTTAGTGACAAGTATATAGAGATCTGAAACAAGGCCATTGTTTTTTTCCTTACACAAAGTGGTATGGAGGGGATGATTTTCTAAGCGACATCCCCATGGGACGCCATGGGCACGCATCGCTGCTCGTATTTGCAAGTAAAAAAAAAATGACGTTGCAGGTAATTTGTGATTTTCCTGCAGGTCTTTGAATTCTCTTAGTCCGTTTTGGTCTGTTATTTTCCCGAGCGTGTGGACCCCTTGGCGTTCCCATGGAGAGAAGGAGGCTATTTTTTTGCCTATTAGCAATGCATAATTATGGAAAATTGGAGATTGTTGATAATAATTGTTTTTTATTTTCATGAATTTATTGACTTTATACCAAACGGAGATGAGATGAGAGATAATTGGACCACATTTGTTTTTTACTATCTTTAGTGGTATATTAGAGTATAAAAAGCATGACATGTCATGGGGCTTAAGTAACTGTTCTTCGATTGGTTTCCATGATGTGAGTATGTCTGGTTTTAACCAAAGAGAAAGTGAACGTAGGGCAAAACACCATGAATACCATTCGAAGTTTGGGAGGTTAATGCCACCTGATGTTTAAGCCGGTATAATGTTGAGGTTTTTATTCTTGGTTTTTTCCAATTCCATAAGTAGGAACCTATGATGGCATGTAGTTTTTTCCAATATCCTTTTGGAGGGGCCAAAGGGAGCATGGAGTTAAAGAAATTAATGCGCGGTAGAACATTCATTTTTATGATAGAAAGGCGAGATTGAAAGGATATTGGGAGTGAGCCCCATCTATTTAGGTCGTTTGTAATAGAATGCAATGTTTTATTATAATTATTGTTGATTAAAGTGTTCACTGCCGGGTATATGGAGATGCCCAGATACTTGAAACTTTCAACCACGGGAATATTAAAAGATTCCAAGTTGGTTGTGGTTTTATTCAATGGCATAACTGCTGATTTTGTCCAATTCACCTTATAACCTGACATTTTTCCGAACTGTTCGAAAGATTGAAGAAGGAATGGTATTGATATGTGTGGATTGCTTGTATAAATTAAAATGTCGTCGGCGTAAAGGGAAATATAATGGGGGGTGTTGTGGACCATTATTGGTGCCAGATTTTCTGATTGCCTGATAAATTGAGCAATGGGCTCCAGCGATAGGCAGAATAGGAACGGAGACAGTGGGCAGCCTTGTCTAGAGGAGCGAGATACTTTAAATCTAGAGGAGCAGGTATTGCCTGTTATCACTACTGCTGTGGGGTTGGCGTATAATGTCTTAATCATAGAGATTAACCCCTCGCTGAAGCCCATATGCTGAAGTACTGACCACAAATACTCCCACTCTAGGCGGTCGAACGCTTTCTCTGCATCAAGCGAGAGAATTGCGTTTGACGCTGTGGACTTGGAAGATGAATCTAAAATAAGGAGTAACCGGCGCGCGTTATCAGAGGCCAAACGTGACTTTATGAACCCTGTTTGGTCGTGATGTACAAGACTTGTCATGATGTGCTCTAATCTCATTGTCAAAACTTTGGCATAGGCTTTAAGTTCAGTGTTCAAGAGGCTCAAGGGTCGGTAGGAGGCACATTCGGTAGGCGGCTTGTCTTTCTTTAACAGTAAGGTTATGATAGCTACATTGCTGCTGTCTGTAAAGGAACCTTGGGAGATTGAAAAATTAATCATATCTAGAAGAAGTGGGCCAAGCTGAGACCAGAAAACTGAATATAGCTCTGGAGGAATACCATCCAGACCGGGGACTTGCCTTTATTCATGCAGTTTATTGCTTGGGTTAATTCTTTTAAGGTGATTGGCTTTTCGAGTAAGCTAGCGCTTTCAGATGAGATTTTAGGTAAGTGGAGGGAGTTTAGAAAGTTACAGCAGGTTTCGCTGTTGTAGGTGGCTTCTGAGGCATAAAGTTTTTGATAGAATTTTTTAAACGTGTTATTTATGCCGGCGGGGTCAGAAGTTATAGTGCCCTCCTCTGTCGTGACTGCAGGTATATTTGCAAGCTGCTCACTGTTTCTGATTTTAAGGGCTAAGAGGCGGCTTGGTCGGGCATCGTTTAAATAATGCTTTTGGCGAGTGCGATGAATCTGAAATTCAGCTTTCTGTCTCAGCAATTGATTCAATTCCTCTAATAATTCCTGACGTTTTATAGTGTTTTCGGGTGTTGGTTGAATTAGCATTTGTTGTTCTGTTCGAACTATATTGGTTTCTAATAAACTAATCCTATTGTTCTTTGCTTTGTTAAGTCGAGAAGAAAATGAAATAGTTTTATTCCTGATACATCCTTTGACTGCTTCCCACAGAATTCTTGGATCCTCCACTGAAGGTTTATTTATATTTATAAAGAAGTCCAATTCTTGTTTGAGTTCATTTTTGAAATCATCGTTCTGGAGTAAAGTGGTATTAAAACGCCAGCGAGATGCCTTAGCCTGTCCGGTTTTGACTTTGAGTGAGCATGACACAGCTCTATGGTCTGATAGTGGAAAAGGAATCATATCCGTTTCGTAAATTAACTGAAACAGTGGTTTGGAGACAAATATATAGTCGATCCTGGAAAAGGTTTTGTGCCGTGATGAGTAATAGGAGAATTCCCTGGAAGAAGGGTTCATAAGACGCCAAGAATCAATAAGATTAAAATCGCTTTCATTTTTTGTAATGCGCTGGAGGCAAGTTTTTGATCATAGCTTTCGTTTGGCCCTGTCCTGTCTTCTTGATGTAAACGCGCGGCATTGAAGTCTCCACCTATAAGAAGCTGATAGTCAAGGAGATCTAGTAAAATAGCTTCTAAAGAATCAAAAAAAGTTTTGTCAAAATTATTTGGAGCATAAACACAGATCAATGCAATTTTAATGCCATTGTAAGAAATTTTACAATAAGTGATTCGGCCATCACCGCTTCCTCCTGTACCTAGATTAATATATGATAAATTACGCCTAATGGCTATGAGAACACCTTTGCTTTTTTTAGTGTAACAGGAGGACGCGGTCACCTCATAATGCTTATTGTTGAACCTGTATGTATCAGCTTCTTGGAAGTGTGACTCTTGAATAAATGCAAAGTGGATGTTCTTCCTATGTAGCAGATCTAAGACACTAGCACGTTTTTGTGGAGAGTTCAACCCACGGGCATTCAATGAAAGTACATTTATTTTATCCATTCATAATGATAACATTTTGGAAAATATAACATAGTGCACCTATGCCTGGACATCCCACCCCCCGCTTCCACCCACACACCCACACACACACGCGCACACACACAAAAAAAAAAGGAAAAAAAGGAAACAACAGAAAAAATAAAAGATAAAAAAAAAAGAAAAAAAAAAAAAAAAAAAAGACCCATTGACCCCATTCCCCATACTAATATACCAGTGAACCATGGGCAGAGCCTAGTCCTCCCTCTCTCTTCATTAATAGCTAAGGGAAATAAAAAACCTACTCAAAGAATATGAATAAATATATGTGACATTGTGACATTATTTATTATTTGTTCGCCCTAAATATGTTGCTGATTGCTAAGCTATAGGAGTAAATAAAAAATAAAAAATTATGGTAAATTTTATTTGTAGAACTTAAACATCGATAACATCTGACACTGCCTATTCCCTCAGGGTAGGAGCAGTAATAATAATAATTAACAAATAAAATAAAAAGTAGATAAACAAAGGCAAAATAAGGCATACAGGCTTCCAGGGACAGAGAAGCCTGCTAACCTGCATATCAGCAAACTTAGTAGTTATTCATAGAGCAGTCTGAAGCGGTTTAGATCCTGTTCTTTTAACATCACCCGTTCTCAGCTTTGTAAGCAGCCACAAACTTTTCGGCCTCACCTGGCTCGCTGAACGTGTAGCTGTCGTGGTCCCGGGATAGCTTTATGGTTGCTGGATACAGGAGAAAGGCACTGAAACCTTGTGCCCGGGCCTCGTGCATTATTTTATAGCACGGTCTTCGGCGTTTGGCTGTTGCCTCGCTATAATCCGCTGCAAATTTGAGTTGCACTCCCGACACTTCTGGGACTTTCTTACGAGCTTCTTTCAGCAAGAGATCCCTGTCGGTGTAGCGTAGTAGCTTGATGATAACCGGGCGCGGGCGTGGATTTGGAGTGGTCCTCGATGGTGCTGGGCCAAGCCGATGCGCCCTCATTATCTCTGCGCGCGGCGCGCCAGGCTCGCCAAACAACCCAAAGGCAGGAAACCAGCGTGGGACGTTCTCCGTCAGGTAGGAGACCATGTTAGAGCCCTCCACCCCTTCCTTGAGGTTGAAGACGAGCAGGTTGTCTCTTCTCGAACGATCCTCCATCTCCACAATTTTTTCGGAGAGGGATTGTAACTGCATCTCGGTTCCAGACGCACGCTCTTGCAGTTGCGTGGTATCTGAGCGCAGAGCCTTAATGTCTTCCGTGTGTCGAGAAAGGGTGGCATGCATGTTGTCGAGCCGTTTTACGAGTCTGTTACTTCGAGCTTCCAATTTCTCGTCCGCTTCTTCAAAATACTTGGACATGATCTCCTCGATAGTCTTTGCGAGGGCTGTGTTATCCACGCCAAGTTCCTGGGTCATCTCGGACGCGATGGCTTGTTTAGCTGCTGTATCCTTTCTTGTTCGGCGCATAGGCGTATGCAGACACGGTTTGCCGTTTGCTTATATTTGCCAGTTGTGACACTTTAGTCACATCAGGAAAGTTTCGGTTTCTCAGTTTGAAGAGAGAGGACGTGGACGTGGCCGTCTATGCTGCCGCCATGACACCGGAAACCGACCCACCAGACTATCTTTTTCATCATTTATATTACCAATAAATTATACATAGAGTACAGCTTGTGTCCGATCATAGGAATTTAGTGAGAAAAGATTTTAAAAACCTACTTTATTGAAGTTTTTTATGTTTGATAAGGCCATAATAATAATAATAACAATAATAATGATTACAATACCAGATCTTATAGAAAGTTGGAGTAGCTGCAGCAAAATGCTCGGGGTTCAGAAGGCTCAGACAGGGAGCCATTGAAGTTGTTTGAGGATGGGGGTGATGTGCTGGTGGTGGGGGGTGTTGGGTCAGAGAGTGTTTCGGCCTCTGTGTAAAGGAAACACACACCTATACACCTTGTACCATATATGCAATTTTGTTACTTTTCTACTTTTGTTTTTCAAAAGTTTTTGAGACATTTTGATTGGTGTTGGGTTGGAAGTTTTCAAAACATGTACGAAGGTCTGTTATTATGTTTGTATTGTACATTTTCTGAAATAAACATTGGGATTGTTTTTTTGAAAAGATATGGCTTCACACAACTGCACACAATAAATGGGGAAACAATATTTTATATATAAAATATGTCCAAATAATGATATCTATGTGCGTATGTATGCATCCATGTGTGTGTCAATTTGTGTATGTGTGTATGTATGTATGTATGTATGTGTATGTGTGTGTGTGTGTGTGTGTGTGTGTCTGTCTGTCATGTTCACAACCATAAACATTTGATTTCAAAGACAACTGTTACTTCGAGACATTTCCAATGATGCTGAAGGTTCATAATTAAATATAGCTCTGTGTGTGACATTTCATACTAAGGTCTGGATTTGCTCCATTGAGCTCCGTTTACAGGTGGGAGGGGTTAACTCCTTTTGCAGATTGAAACGATTGGATCTGAGTTTACCATGACGTATGTAGTGCACCCGAGTCTGTTGTTAGCATTTAGCATTTAGCCTAGCCATCTCCTTTGCCGCTAACGGAGCCGTGGGGAGTAGCGCCACAATTTTTTCCAGCGATTACATTTACTAAACATTCCTCTTGCTCCGGCTTCAATTTCTTGATAGAACCAGACCGGATTATTTTACTATCGCATTTTTTGCCATTACCAAACTACAACCTGCCTGTTCGACGCAAACTCTTAACATTACCCACAACTAACTACAACACCTGCCTTCCGTGCTCTCTGATTGGTCGGTCGAAATTCAACTGATTGTAATCGCCAACACAGGGACTAGACCCAGACGTTACATGCAGTGAAATGATGATTGAACGGAGGGTACGGATGGCTAAGGCCAGGCTACTGTTGAACATGTTCCAGGTCATAGTCAAGAACTCGTCTTAGCGGGTTTGAAAACGGAGCATTTTCAACAAAAGGGGTGGGGGGACATGTTTGTGAAAGATGTTTTCATTGATAAAGCTTCATCTTTTTGGGTGAGGGAGCGCAGTTCTGGATTATCTGTGAAAGTCCTTCATGATTCATGAGTTTCTCGGAAGAACAAAGTTAAAAGCTAGTTTTCCTTGATGTGATATGTGTACATGAATCAGGAGCGAAGCTAGCTCTCAGTGTACAACCTCTTGGAAAATGAGATGTTTCCATCCCTAAAACAGTCTGAAGCCTAATATACTGTATACGTAATACAGTATATTAAATTTTGCAGTTTATTGTACGTTGTACTTATGAGCCAGACTGGTCTCTTTATGTTTTATTGTACTGTTATTACAATAAATAAGTAATATGCATGCATTTCTTCTTATGAGCCCATTGAAGTTCAGATTCCCTCATATTGAAATTCCATCTCCATATGCTCCACCCCAAGGTGCTAAGCACCCCTGAAGCTGAAAGTCTAAAATCGCTAGTGATATGAATATTCATTGAATTAAATTTAACTTTTGTGAGATCAATAAAGTATATCTTCTTCTTCTTCTTCAAATGTGAGGCCAGTAGTATTGCAGAATGACATGAAAGACAGACTGACGCTCCTCCCATTGTCATAGATATAAAAAGCCAAAGCAGAGTATCAGAGGCTCAGATACCAGAGTCATAGCACAAATCATATACAAGGCAACTCAAAGTGCTGAACAAAAGATAGGATTAAAATCACAAATAATCACAGTACATTAAAAATATAAAATCCCTCAGTTGTGTGCACAGCTAAACAGAACTGGATTTAAACCATTCAGAGAAGAGGCCTGTCTCACTGTTTCAGGAAGATTGTTCCAGAATAGGGGTTGCGTTTGCTGCAGCAGTCGTGGGATTGGACTGTGAGACTTTAAACACTGTACTGACTGCTCTCTGCCTCACAGAAACTGAGACCAGGTGTTCCACTGACCATGTGGCCCCTGTCGTTCTGGGTGGAGTCACTGCTCTGTGCATTGTCATAACTGTCGGCCTGAGCAGGAAAATCCTCCGCCTCCAAAAAGGTAACGTTAAATATCAATTATGGATCAGAGAAACCGAGACTGTAAAGTGTGTTTCTTTATTATGTTTTTGCAGCAGCCAAAGACCAAACAGTTGATACAGCAGAGGTCAGATTTTCTGTTTTGAAATCTAAAATACCATGTGTGAAAGTGAGGTGGAGGTTAATATGTTGTGTGTGTTGATCAGGGCTCTCTGGTGGCTGCTCGTGTCTTCATGGCCACGTCTCTGAGGAGCAGGCGTCCAAACACACTGGAGCACACACACGTCTACACCGTCAGCAAATAGAAGCACGAGGAAAATAAGGCCGAACCATTCATCAAGATTTAAGTTTCCTAATCACATTTAGAGAATGTGACCAGGAAAGACTGCTATGATTTTAGCCAGGTTGTACCACACCTTAGTACAAATTTCATTTCATACTAAGGTCTGGAGGTGCTCCATTGATCTCCGTGAACAGGTGGGAGGGGTCAACTCCTTTTGCAGATTGAAACGATTGGATCTGAGTTTACCGTAACGTGTGTAGTGCGCCCGAGTGTGTTGTTAGCATTTAGCATGTAGCCTAGCCATCTCCTTTGCTGCTAACGGAGCCCGTGGGGAGTAGCGCCACAATCTTGACTAGGGATTACATTTGCTAAATATTCCTCTTGCTCCTGCTTCAATTTCTTGATAGAACCAGACCAGATTACTTTACTATCGCATTCTTCGCCACTGCCAAACAACAACCTGCCCGTTTGGCGCAAACTCTTGACGTCACCGGCACCGACCTACAACGCGCTCTCTGAGTAGCCGGTCAAAATACGACCGATTGTATTCGCTAACACAGGGACCAGACCCAGACCGTTACATGCAGTGAAATGATGATTGAGCGGAGTGTACGGATGGCTATGGCCAGGCTACTATGATTTAAGTTCTTTTCAAATAATAATGGGATACAAGAAAGAAAAGAAAAAAAAACATTTGGATTTTGAATAAATCTTTATATTTTTATTTATTTGGAAGTACCTGTTTTGGTAGAAAGGTTATTTCCTTGTTCCAATTGAGACTTCTCATCTTTTTCATCATTTATATTACAATAAAATATACATAGAGTACAGCTTAAGTCTGACCATAGGAATTTAGTGCGAAAAGATTTTAAAAAACCTGCTTCATTAAAGTATTTGATGTTTGATAAGGCCATGATAATAATAATAATAATAATAATAATAATAATTATTATTATTATTATTATTATACTAGATCTTACAGAGAGTGGGGGTAGCTGCAGCAAAAGGGTTACTCAGCTGTCCTTGAGGATCAGAAGGTTTGGTCCCCGGGGTTCAGACTCAGAATGGTTCAGACCATAATGAAGCTTATGCGGACTTTCAGACTAAAAGACCGAGTGCCTGCCAATCAAACAGCGCTGCCAGCCTCGAGCCTCAGCCAATCAAACAGCTCTGCCAGCCTCAAGCCTCAGCCAATCACACAGCCCGGCCAGCCTCCTGCCAACCCTCTCACAGCAATGCGGGCATTTTAAAAGGCAGCCTCTTCCTGACAAGCAACGCTTCCTGAGGCTCTTAAACACCCACCACCTCCCCAGCACCCCCTCTGGCTCCTGCTCTGGCTCCCGCTCTGGCTCCCGCTCTAGGCTCCTGCTCCGCCTACGCCCCATTCACGCCATACTCTAGCCACCAGAGCTTGACCCCGGGGGATCTGAGATCATCTTCAGCTGCAATCGATCTCATCGCTGCAAGTGTCAGTACAATGCGCCAAACAAATAAATAATTTTTTATGTATTGTGTCTTTGGTCTCTTCAGATTGAAATGCAATTGTGCCACTTTAACTGTTGATATTATTTCTGATATTTATTCTGTTCATATGCATATTCCCATATTCTCCGCTGCTAAAGTACATAGACATCTGTAAATACTATTGAACCAAGTGCAATTATAGCCCAGAGTTTATTTTATTTTATTTCATTCTTATCTTAATTTTATTGTCTATTATCTTAAATAATAGACTTATTTGATGTGTGCAATCTGAGAGCTCTTATTTCCTCTCTCTGCTGTAATGTGCACAACGATGACACTGAAATTTCTCCACTGTGAGACTAATAAAGGTTCATCTTATCTTATCTTTTCTACTTTTGTTTTTCAATAGATTTTGAACCATTTTGATCGGTGTTGGGTCAGAAGTGTCTGGTTCATCCAACCCCTTTTCAAAACATGTACCAAGGTCTGTTATTATGTTTGTATTGTAAATTTTCTGAAATAAACATTGTGATTGATTAAAAACATGTTTATTTGAAAAGATATGGATTCCCACAACTACACACAATGGGCCTCATGTATGAAACTTGCGTACGGCCAAATCAGGGTGTAAATGATGCAAAAAATGTACACTTTTCCGCATTTATCAATCTGGAAGTCAATAGGTGGTGTAAATGTGTACGCTCATTTCACCCTT